CTTTGACCCCGAAATCATAACCTGAACCAAAATCAAGACCGGATGCTTAACTGACTGAGCCACCCTGGCACCCCTGTATTTAAAATTTAATATTTCATTTAAGATCTGTCCAGATTGGTTAATACTTGATCTTTTTAACATCCTGTTATATAAGTGTAATTTTTCCTGTCCATTTCTTCATTTGAAAGACATTTATGTCATTTCCATTTATCATTATTATGTATAATTCTTCAGTGACCGCCTTTTATATTTTCTCTCCCTGTATAAAAGGAAGCATTTCAAGCATTCCATAGTACACACATGATTAATATTGTTGGGTCATAAGGACAAGACTCCCAATGTCACTTGTCTCCTGCCAAGTTGGTCTAAGTGACCAAACGACTCATACCAGCTCTTATATGATAGGACATCTTTCTTTGCCTCCTTGTTGACAGTTGATACTGTTATTCAAAAATTATGGCCAGTCTGATGGATAATGAAAACCTTATTGTTTTGATTTGTATTTCTCTGATTATGGATAAGATTGGGCCTTTCGGTTTTCTTCTGTAAATGTTGGTTTATATATTTTGTATATTTTTACATATTTTCTATTGATTTTGTTCTTAATAACTCATATTTATGAGCTTTGTATAGTAATCTTTGTTTTAAATAGATTCACTGTAAATATCTTTCCCAGGGTTTGTCTTCTCTGTTCACTTTATGATAGCATTGGTCATATGAAAGTTTTACAGTTTGATGTCAGATTTATGAAATTTTTTTATTATTTTTGTTTTTTACTGTATTTTTTCTTTTTGTTTTGTTCTTTTTTCTTTCTTTCTTTCTTTTTCTGGTTTGTTGAGTTTGTTTGGGTTTTTTACAGTTCTTTTATCCTTAGGTATATTCCCATTGTGATACATAGTCACATTCCTGGGAACCCTGGGTGGCGCAGCGGTTTAGCGCCTGCCTTTGGCCCGGGGCGCGATCCTGGAGACCCGGGATCGAATCCCACGTCGGGCTCCCGGTGCATGGAGCCTGCTTCTCCCTCTGCCTGTGTCTCTGCCTCTCTCTCTCTCTCTCTCTCTCTCTCTCTCTCTCTATGTGTGTGACTATCATAAATAAATAAAAATTAAAAAAAAATCGACATAGTCACATTCCTGTCTTAAATTTAGCAGGTATTTTCTCTCTGAGGTATACCATCAAATTGAGACACAATTCGATTCATTTGTTTCATTTGTTCCTTTTGTTTAAGGTTTTGTTTTTATTTTCATAATTATTTTTATATAAGTATAAAAAATATTTAAATTTTTCTGAAGACGGACTGTGAATATAAAGCAAAGTGTATTCAGAGATAAGTCTGGCTTCTATCTCCGTCCCCTCCATCCTATTCCTTCCCTTACCATGAGGGTGACCTTTTTTTTTTAAGTTTTTCTTTTAATTTCCCTATGTAAAGAGTTTCTAAAAAGCGAAAAAACAATAGCATTCTAAATATGGACAAGAACTGTGAAGAGAAAACTCACAGAAAGAGAAATGCAAATGGCACTAAAACTTATAAAATCAAGCTTACTCTTTAAAAAAGAAGAATGTAAGTAAAAATTAGACTGAACCATTTCACTCCTGTTGGACTGACAGAAATCCAAAAGATCTAACAACACATACACTTAATTTAATTTGCTACAGGCATAAAAGCATCCTCATATCCTGTTCAGAATGCAAAGATTATGCCCTTGTATTCTTTCGTATTATGGACTTTTTAAAGTCCTGGTCATGTCTTGTTGAATAGTTATTCTTTTTTTTTTTAAATTTATGATAGTCAGAGAGAGAGAGGCAGAGACATAGGCAGAGGGAGAAGCAGGCTCCATGCACCGGGAGCCTGACGTGGGATTCGATCCCGGGTCTCCAGGATCGCGCCCTGGGCCAAAGGCAGGCGCTAAACCGCTGCGCCACCCAGGGATCCCTTGATTAGTTATTCTTGAACTTAATTATACTTTAGAATCATCTGGAACTCTTTGAATATTCCTATACCTGGACTGCACTCCATACCAGTTAAGTCAGAAACTCTGGGGAGTGACACCTGGCAGTGTGCAGCCATGTTAAGAAGCATGATTATAGAATGCCCCCACATTTGTGTTGACTGATCTGTTTTTCCTCATGATTAGATTCAGAATATATATTTTTATTAGGCTCATTTATTGTATATTTCTTATGTCGTCTGACTGTACCATTATCTAAATACCACCAAATAATCTCCACTTGAAAAGTAGTCTTCTTTTTTTCCTTTTGTAAACTAATAATCTGTCAGGTGACATTTGGAGACTGTGAATGTTCTTATTCCCCATGACCTTTCATCCAGTGGTTGACTGTTTAGGTTGAGCACCTTTTACCGTGTTTATTGGCCACTGATCTTTTGTAAAGTTATTGTTAGATCCTTTTCCCATTTTTCCATTAAATTGCGTTGTTCATATTGATTTTAGAAATACATTCTGGGTATATAATCCCTTTATCATTTAAATGTGTTGCCAACATTTCTTGCTCTCCGTTTTGCTTTTAATTAATGGTTTCCTTTAGATTAATAGTTCTTAATTTTAATGTCATCCAATTTATTTCAGTCTTTTTCTTTATGGTTAGTGTTTTTGGTTTCTTGCTTAAAATTTTTTTGATTTTCTACAGATTGTGAAGATAAGTTTATCATGTTATCTTTTGGAAGTTTTACTGATCACATTTTGATCTATAATCCATCTCTGGAATTGATTTCCACATATTATTTGAGACTGAAATCAAATTTGTTTTTTTTTCATGTCCTTTCTCACTGCCCTACTGTAACACATTGTTTTATAAACCAGGTGTCCATGTTTGTGAGTCAGTTTCTATACTATAAATTTAGTTCCAATGATCTTTCAGTTTATTCTTTTACTGATAGCACACTGTTAAATTACTCTAACTTCAGAATAAGTTTTTATATTCACTAGTACATCAGTTTTCTACTTTGTAGTAAGTCACCTCAAATTTTACAGGTAAGAACAACACAAATTTGTCATCTCACAGTTTTTGTGGATCAGGAGTCTAAGCATAAGTTAGCTAGGTTCTCTTAGGCATAATACTGCAGTCAGGGTGTCACCTGGGACTCCTTATCTGAGGCTTGGTTGGATTCCATTCTGTAGATATGTGGTAGAATTTATTTCTGCAAGCCTTAAAACTCACAGTAGCTTCCTTCTTTGAGGTCAGTAGAAGAGTGTCTCTGATATTGTACATTCTTTAAAAAGACTCACATGATTAGGTCAGGCCCACCTAAGTCAATCTCCCTTTTAGACCAAAGACAACTGATTATTTGCAAAATCTGTTTTGCCATAGAATGTAACTTAATCACAGGGACATAAGTCTTTTCCACTAAAGAGGAGTTTATATCAGGGTGTTGGATCCACTGGAAGTCAGCTTAGATTCTGCCTAACACACATAGTGTGAGTTTATCCTTTCGTTCTCCAAGATAGCTTTGGTTGTTCTTGGCCATTTGAATACAAGTTTGAGAATCAGCTTACCAGTTTCCATAAAATATCTGCTAAGATTTTAATTCTGCTTTGTCTTGAATTTATAGGCCAATTTGTAGAGAAATGAGACTTCTGTAATATTGAATTGTCTAAACCATGAATATAATGTATTCCTTCATTTGTTTAGGTATTCTTTGTTTTTTCTCAATAATACTTTATACATTTCTGAAAAATAGTATTTTTTCTGTTAACTAATTTTTAGTATATGGCATGAGTATTGATTAGCTATTTGTTTTGATAACCTGGGAATGATACGTCTCTGTCTCTGCTTGCTTATGTCTGTTGCAGTATTTTTCACAGTGGTCATCTGTGGATAGTATATAACTTAGGAACTGTGCAAGACAGTCTCTTTAGTTATGGGAAGAAAATATTCAGATGCCTGCCTAGGTTTATTTTAATCCATAAAAAGAATGAAGAAATCTAATATACAGTGAAATGAATATAGGCTGTAGTATTGTACTATAATTATGTAATATGATAAATACAATTACATCGGCAACCGTTACAATATATAAATGTATCAAAGTTATACAATGTTACATGCCAAATTTATTCAGTTGAAAAAAATTAAAGTGATTTAGGAAAAAAAAGACAATTTAATATAAATTGACATTATAAGTTTACTATTTATATAAAAAAAAGTTTTCCTTGATGGAAGAGTAATCAAATGTTTTGGACTCCCCTATTCTACGGGAATTATGTCTAGAATTACTCAATAAAGTATTCCCTGAAGACCATTATAGCTCTTTATGTGATCATAGTCCAAATAGTACTTTCTTGTGTGTTCACTCACCTCTCTAACTACATACTTTAGATTACACATGGTTATTCTGTTGCTCCAGGTGTCATGATTATCATGATTATCTGTTATCAATGAAACCCACCCCAATAGCAGGAATAGAACTTTTCTCTCCTCTGTAACCTAGGTCTCCTTTGCACATCTGTTTACTGTAGTAACATGGTATGCTATATGGTAGTTGGATACTTAATGTTTGTGTCTGTTTATCAGATTATATGCTCCTTAAGAACAGTGATACGATTTTAATCAGTTTTCAGATTTTTAAAATTTTATTTATTTGACAGAGAGAACAAAAGCAAGCAGGGGGAGCAGCAGGCAGAGGGAGAGGGAGAAGCAGGCTGAGCAGGGAGCCTGATGTGGGGCTGGAACCCAGGACCCTGGGATCATGACCTGAGCAGAAGGCAGCCACTTAACTGAGCCACCCACATGCCCCTGTTTTTTGGATTCTCTAAGTAGGAGAGTTCTTATGGCATGCAGGCACATAATGGGACACCAGTAACTTATCACAGCAGTGAGCAATGTCTATCATGATTTCTTCTCTGACCAAGTACAAAAGTAGACATGCCAGAGGACACGTTCTAATTAACTGAAGTGAGCTACATGACAGTTCTCTGACAGCTTTTTCATTCATGTCTTCCCATTCTGATTACTTACATTTGAACACAAATACGCTGTTTCAGGGATCCTTATCATTTGAGGATGTGACTGTGGGCTTCACTCAGGAGGAGTGGCAGCACCTGCACCCTGCTCAGAGGACCCTGTACAGGGATGTGATGCTGGAGAACTATAGCCATCTCATCTCAGTGGGTAGGGATTGTTTTCCATGTGGACTTTTAGTATGCACTTCCTTTCTTGGTTTGACATCTGTAGCAGCTTTGTTGAGTTTAATGATATTTAGGCTTTAGATTCAAGCTTCTGCTTAAGCAGGATTGTTGAAACACCATATTGTTTTCTTCTTCAAAGAAAGATTGTAACTGACCCCTGAAGCTTCATTTTCTGTCTTATTCAAGGGCCCTGAAGCCAGTGAGCCTAGCCTAATTCCCATGTCATTTCCCAATTACAGGGTGTTGCATCCCTAAACCAGAAGTGATCTTGAAGTTGGAAGAAGTAGACCAGCCATGGATATTAGAGGAAGAATCTCCAAGTCAGAGCTACCCAGGTGAGTTAGTACGTATTAAATAGGTGGACAGCAGATGACATCATATGAATTGTTTTTATTCTTATGTGTTTGCCTATATGTTCATTTTCACATTTAACAAATACTGGGGACCTCCTCTGCTTCACTCAAGTTTTAGGTGCCAAAACACATCAGCAAACTAAATTTGTTCCTGACCTCATGGAGCTTACATTCTGATAGGGAAAGATAAGAAACAAACAACAGTACATATGTACACACAAACACATGATGTGTCCATAAAATAGCGAGGAAGTTATAGGTTGAAAATAATGAAGTGTAATACTTGAGAAAGGAGGTTCAATAAGGCATTTTTGATGAGATATTAGTTTGAATGAAATGAGGGTGAACATCATGGGGAATCTTGATAGCAGAGGTGACACTAAATGTCAGTCTACCAAGGCAGGAATGTATTTGGTGTTTTTGAGGACACACAAGTATCAATGTGCATTGGGGGTGATAAATGAGCAGAGACTGGTACGATTTAGCATTGTTGAGGCAATGGAGCTCAAATTATGTAGGGCCATTTGGACTGTGATAAAGACTTTGATTTTATTCTGAGTGAATTGAGAAGCCCTTAGGGCAATTTTACCTAATATAAGTGACATATGCTTAGTTATGTTTAAACTTTTCTCTCTGGCTGCCAGGCAAAGAAAATACTAATAGAGGCATGGGGATGAAAGTGAGACCATCAAGACAGTATTTCAGTCTATGAAAAGGTGATAATCACTTCCCTTGGTTGGGATTGGTGAAGAAGATTAAAAGTGATTGGCTTCTGGATATGTTTTAAAGGTGGGACCTCTAAGATTTTCTGTGGGTTGGATAAGGACTGTTACAGAAAGAAAGGAGTCAAAAACAACTTGAAGGAGTTCATCTAGAGCAATGGGATGAGTGAGTGCCAGTTCCCAAGATGGAGGATGCTGGAGAGGAACAAATTTGGAGGGGTTACTAGGAGTTTAGATTGCACACATCAAATTTCAGGTAATTATAAAATACACAGGTTTACATGGGAATAAGCATTTGGCTGTGTAAGCAGAGGTAGTTTAGGGGAGACCCCAAGTTGAAGGTATTTGTTTGGAAATGATCAACTTATGGTAACATTTAAAGTTTTTAAATTTAGTGTTTGAAGCTAAGGGATTGGGTAACTACCTCTCCCTTAGATGTAAGGATGAACAGATTTGAGAGGTCTGAAGGCTGTCCCCTGGGACACTAACTTTCAGAAGTCCTGGAAATGAGAAAGCGCAGCAAGGAAGAAAGAAGCAACTGTGTGGGGATAAGGTGGAAACAGAGAATGTGGTATCCTGTAGCCAAGTTAAGACAGTTTGCAGACAAAATGAACTTCTTGAAGAAGAATATATAAAGTCAGCATTTCCTGTCTCTGCCTGCAAATCATCCAGAAGCATTAAGGAATATGAGCAACACAAACTTCATTATATGACACTAGTGGATATCTGAAATCCCAAATAAAGGTAGCAAAATTGATTAATCAAGGAGTATGTGTATCAGCAGGTGAGTAGAAAACAAAAGGATTTCTGATGCTCACAGGGACTGGCAGAGTGCTTTTCATGAACAGAGCACATTTTCTTAGGTGTGAAATCTTAAAATTTATATTAACAACAGTGCTGCACACAACATAGCTGAGCTTCTTTGGACACAGTTTGGTTTTGCAAAGCAGACATAGTAAAGTATAGCACAAACCATATTTTCAGTAGCTCTGTTTCTGTGACAGTGCAAGAGACACTTTACATTTGGGAAAACCACCTCACAGACACCAAATGTAGAGATAGAATCTTAAGTGCTATCTTAGTGGCTACTCCTAGGACACAGAATTTGAAGCCAAACCTTACTTGATAAAAGTTGGTCAGGATGTTCAGACATCCTGCAAAAATGAGGGAAGCTGAGGAGTAATGCTGGTTCAGAGGAAGGGAAAGTTCATGGGGGTGATTACATTGTTAGCTGTAACTCTGTAATTAGCACTTCTGATTGCTCAGACCACCAGAATATTTTTGGAGTCTTGATGTGAACCACTGTGTGCCAGAGAAGCTTGTCAGAATACTGGAAGGAAAAATGATACATCTTTTTCTTTTGTTTTTATTATTATTTTTTTAATTTTTTATTTATTTATGATAGTCACAGAGAGAGAGAGAGAGAGAGGGAGAAGGAGGCTCCATGCACCGGGAGCCCAACGTGGGATTCGATCCTGGGTCTCCAGGATCGCGCCCTGGGCCAAAGGCAGGCACCAAACTGCTGCGCCATCCAGGGATCCCTGTTTTTATTATTTTTTTAAAATAAATTTATTTTTTATTGGTGCTCAATTTACCAACATACAGAATAACACCCAGTGCTCATCCCATCAAGTGCCCCCCTCAGTGCCCATCACCCATTCACCCCCACCCCCTGCCCTCCTCCCCTTCCACCACCCCTAGTTCATTTCCCAGAGTTAGGAGTCTTCATGTTCTGTCTCCCTTTCTGATATTTCCCACACATTTCTTCGCCCTTCCCTTATATTCCCTTTCACTATTATTTATATTCCCCAAATGAATGAGAACATACACTGTTTGTCCTTCTCCGATTGACTTACTTCACTCAGCATAATACCCTCCAGTTCCATCCACGTTGAAGCAAATGGTGGGTAGTTGTCGTTTCTAATGGCTGAGGAATATTCCATTGTATACATAAACCACATCTTCTTTATCCATCATCTTTCCATGGACACCGAGGCTCCTTCCAGTTTGGCTATTGTGGACATTGCTGCTAGAAACACCGGGGTGCAGGTGTCCCGGCGTTTCATTGCATCTGAATCTTTGGGGTAAATCCCCAGCAGTGCAATTGCTGGGTTGTAGGGCAGGTGTATTTTTCACTCTTTGAGAAACCTCCACACAGTTTTCCAGAGTGGCTGCACCAGTTCACATTCCCACCAACAGTGTAAGAGGGTTCCCTTTTCTCCGCATCCTCTCCAACATTTGTTGTTTCCTGCCTTGTTAATTTTCCCCATTCTCACTGGTGTGAGGTGGTATCTCATTGTGGTTTTGATTTGTATTTCCCTGATGGCAAGTGATGCAGAGCATTTTCTCATGTGCATGTTGGCCATGTCTATGTCTTCCTCTGTGAGATTTCTGTTCATGTCTTTTGCCCATTTCATGATTGGATTGTTTGTTTCTTTGCTGTTGAGTTTCATAAGTTCTTTATAGATCTTGGAAACTAGCTCTTTATCTGATAGGTCATTTGCAAATATCTTCTCCCATTCTGTAGGTTGTCTTTGAGTTTTGTTGACTGGATCCTTTGCTGTGCAAAAGCTTCTTATCTTGATGAAGTCCCAATAGTTCATTTTTGCTTTTGTTTCTTTTGCCTTCGTGGATGTATCTTGCAAAGAAGTTACTGTGGCCGAGTTCAAAAAGGGTGTTGCCTGTGTTCTCCTCTAGGATTTTGATGGACTCTTGTCTCACATTTAGATCTTTCATCCATTTTGAGTTTATCTTTTGGATAGGTTCTTAAACAGTCTTCATTGTTACATTTTCTGAGCATAAAGGTAACATGAAGGATAGCTGAGAATTCTTAGGGTAAATAAATATATCAATTGAATGTTTTAGGCCCAGGCTTCTGTGGTCATAAATCTAAATAAAAACAAGAAAGGTAGCAATGTGGGAATAAAAGAAAATAAATTCTTAATACTATGTCAAAGCAAGTTTAAAATGGGGAAAAATTAGCATCTGGTAGAATATCTGACAAAAGAAGCTTTAATATGCCACAACTAAAAACAACTGATGGCTTTGTTCATCTTTCAGTTAGCTTTCTCATTTTTTTGGTTTTACATTTCTTTAGACATTTGTATTTTTTGTTAACAGTAGCAGAGGAAAAATTAGAAGTTACATTTAGAGGACTCTATTTACACACCCAAAAAATCACCTTCAGAAACTTAATTTGGTATTAACAGTATACTAAATTAATGTACAACAAAAGAGAATTTTAAAAGGAGGAGAATGAAACTGGAAACATGTACAGCATAAAGAGAATTTAGCTGTACAAATATAAGTATGTGAGAAAAATTATGTAAAATCGGATCCTTTAAAATAGCAAATCATTCCTCTATTTCTTTAGGGCATTCTTCTCTACTAATTGTCATGGCCTCTCTAGTACTCTGCATTTCCCCTTCCCAGATGAGCCATTCTTTTTTTCAAAGTCTGCTTTCCTTCACTGTGCTTTATATTTATTTCTAATGTATATATTAAATTTTAAAGTATATATTTCTAAATTGCCAAATGTAGCTGTGTGTATTCTAAGTTTCTATCTTCCTTTTCCACCTTGTCAAGTTTTGACAAGGATGGGGCACATGACTATTTGGATCACTCTTATTTCACAAGACAAAGTCAGTGATGTAAAAGGGCAATTGTTTTAAGTGTAATTTCATCATAATTATGATATGGTTCATGGTTTATGGTTGGTTTTCTCATTTCTAGAAGTCTGCAAAGTTGATGACCAACTAGAACAGAATCAAGAAACCCAGGACAGACGTTTCTGGCAAGGTCCATTTATCAACAGCAAAACACTGACTATACACAGAGGTAATGTATTAGGAAGAATTTTTAATTTCAGTACAGACATAGTTCCTTCCATAAAAATATCCTGTAGGTGTGATTCGTATGGTATGAATTTGAAATGTATTTCAGAATTAATTATTAATAAGAAAAACTATTTAAGAAGTCTGTTGACCTCAATACATATGGGAAGTTGTTTCTTCATATTAACCATGAACAAACTCAAATGGGGAAGAAACCTTGTGAGTTCATTCAAAATGGAAAATACCTCAGTTATAATGAAGGTTTCATCACATATCAGAGAATTAAAAATATAGAGCAATCCTTTAAAAGCAATAAGGAATACAAGGAGTGTGGGAAAGATTTCCATGAGAAGGCATTTGTCATCCCATATAACTATGCTCACATAGGAGAGAGTCCTTATGAACATAATGAATCTGATAAAATACTCTGTAATAATTTAACCTTCATGGTCCATAAGATGGCACAGAGAACAGAAAAACTTTTTGAGTCTTATGAGTATGCTAAAACTTTTGAGCAGTCAGCTCTCTTGAAACACAGAGTTCATTTAGAAGTGCAAGGTTATGAGTATATCGATAAAGTAGATAATTTCAATGGGAAATCACATTTTCCTGACACAGGAAAGAGAATACTTGACTATAACAACTTGGGAGAACCATTCTGGGAGAAGTCAGTTCTTACTGTAACTCAGAGAACACACATAGGAGACAAAGCCTATGAATGTGGAAAAGCATTCTGCGAGAACTCAAAACTCACCAAACATCAGAAATTACATACAAGAGAGAAACCCTATGAATGTAAGAAATGTGAGAAATGCTTCTCTCGGAAATCTCTCCTCACTTTACATCAGAGAATCAACACAGGAAAGAAACCATACGAATGTAAGGAATGTGGGAAATACTTCTCTAGAAGTTCACACCTCATAATTCATCAGAGAACTCACAGGAGAGAAACCCTTTGAATGTAAGGAATGCAGAAAAATCTTCTATCATAAGTCATATCTCACAGTACACCAGAGAATTCACACAGGGGAGAAGCCCTATGAATGTAATCAATGTGGAAAAACTTTCATAAGCAACTCAGTCCTCACAATACATCAGAAAATACACACAGGTGAGAAACCATATAAGTGTAATCAATGTGGGAAATTCTTCTCTAGAAACTCTACCTTACAGTACATCTGAGAACTCACACAGGGGAGAAACCCTATGAATGTGAGATATGTGGGAAAACCTTTTGTCACAAGTCAGATGTCACTAAACATGAGAAAATTCACATAGGGGGAAAACCCTATGGATATACTCAGTGCAGGAAAACCTTTAGTCGCAACTCAGGACTAAAAGTACATCAGAGGGGATCCCTGGGTGGTGCAGTGGTTTGGCGCCTGCCTTTGGTCCAGGGCGTGATCCTGAACACCCGGGATCGAATCCCACGTCGGGCTCCCGGTGCATGGAGCCTGCTTCTCCCTCTGCCTGTGTGTCTGCCTCTCTCTCTCTCTCTCTCTCTCTCTCTCTCTCTCTCTGTGTGTGTGACTATCATAAATAAATAAAATTTTAAAAAAAAGTACATCAGAGAACTCACACAAAGGAGAAGCCGTATGAATGTAGTGAGTGTGGAAAATCCTTCTCTGAGAAATCAGTCCTCACCATACATCAGAGGATACACATGGGAAAAACCTTATGAGTGTAATGAATGTGGAAAAACCTTCTACAATAAATCAGACCTCACTAAATACCACAGAACTCACACAGGTGAGAAACCCTATGAATGTAAGGAATGTGGGAAATTCTTCTCTATTCCTAGAGAGAATATTCTCTATTCCTATTCTTTCTGTACACCAGAGAACTCACACAGGGGAGAAGCCCTATGTGTGTAAAAAATGTGGGAAGACTTTCCGCCATAAGTCAGACCATATAATACATAAACAAACACAGAGGGGAGAAATCATATCACTGTAATCAGTGTGGGAAAACCTTTACTTGCAGTTCGGTCCTCAGATCACATCAGAGAACTCACACAGGTGAGAAGCCCTATGAATGTAATGAGTGTGGGAAGTCATTTTCTGAGAAATCAGTTCTCACTGTACATCAGAGAATACACACAGGGGAGAAACCTTACAAGTGTAATGAATGTGGGAAGTCCTTCTATCATAAGTCAGATCTCACTAAGTATCAGAGAACACACACAGGAGAGAAACCCTATGAATGCAATCATTGTGGGAAAACCTTCACTTGCAACTCAGGCCTCAAGGTACATCAGAGAAGACACATAAGAGAGAAACCCTAGGACTGTATCGAGAGGGAGATAACCTCCAAGAAATCAGTTGTTACAGTACATTCAAGGTTATACACGGGGAAAGAACATTTTTAAATATTGCAATGAGAGAAATCTTTCTCATGTGATTCATACCTCAAAATACACAGAAAATTCACAAAGGACATGACTCGTAAGAATGTAAAGAATGGCAAATCTTTTACCATCAGTCATCTTCCAAAATAAATAAGAGAATACTCATAGTAGAAAATACTCTGAATTTAATAAATGTTTGAAAATCTGTTGTAAATAAGAAAACTAAAAGTGACTGTAGAAGAAACCTTACTAATGCATATAGGGAAGGTGGGGAATTATTTTATTATGAAGTAGATCTTATTAAACAAAAAACTTCACTGAGGGGGACACTTGATGGGATAAGCACTGGGTGCTATACTATATGTTGGCAAATTGAACTTCAATAAAAAATACACGTATATTAAAAACAAAAAACAAAGAACTTACATAGGAGACAATACTGTCAGTCAAACAGATGTATGAAAATATTCTTCCAGAATTTGGCCATAAATAACAATCAGACCACACTTCGGAAAAAGTGTCAACTCTTGTATTTTTTGAGACCTTCATATACAAGTTGTACTCAATGAGTGTCAGGGAAATAATAGGGAGATACCCAAAGCAGCAAACGTGGTTGAGGCTTTATCAAGAAATGCCATTTTGTTGAGCAAGAAAATTGATGTTGGAAGAAGTCGTAAAGATGTTTTGAATGTGCAGGCTTTAACAAAATTCAGGCTTTATTATATATGAAGGTTGTATTGAAGGATGGGTGTCTTTACAAAATATAAACAAATTCTTTAAATATATGATTATTAACGTTATGTTTTTCTCTGATCTCAAATTCTTAAATAGAAGTAAAGCTGAAAATAGACATTTATTAAAAACATTAGCTGTGGTATGTGAAGCTTTTTGAAAAGAATAAATTGAATAATCTTAGTCTTTGATTTCACTTTTGGAAAAACATCTGTCACCCCATGGCCCTCCCTATCATGAGCCATCATAGTTTTTTGATTAATTTGCCCCTAAACTATGCTATTACCTTTGCAAATAATGCTAGATGGTCTGGTTCATCCTGGAATCTACTCTAGGGGTTTTCTCCATGGATTAGAGAACCATTATATATTTTTACCAGAATATATAATGCCACCACTCAGGGACAGTCTGGAGGATGTATCTGCTTCCTCTTCTTAGTTTTAGGAAGCAGAAATAACATTGACTGTGTTGATGAAAATAGAGTACTGCCTCTAGAGTACTCTAGGGCATTTGACCTTTACGCCTCAATTCAAATTTACAGGAAGCTCAATATAGTTTACATTCTTGATTTCAAGCCTCTTGATCCAATGATAGCCCACCTTTCCAGGGGAGACAAACTTTGTGTTGTTTTAGTGAAATATTTCATATGTGTGTCCAGTTATGAGGAACATCATAACCAGTGGTGTGCCTGCTGTAGTTTGGAAGTAATGTATTATGAGAATAATTGAAGTATCTGCATTCCATCCTCAAATCTGTTCCATATCCTATAACTTTTACCACCTTCAGTGCTTTTCTAAATTAGGTTAATATTGATCTCACATCTTATTACTTTTATAGTAATATTTTACATATATTTCTTTGTGATGTAATAACATTGTTTTGCTAGTATATCTGTTGGAACACACGTTTTGCAACTTGCTTTTGTCTTCAAATACATGGTTTTGATATTTATACATATTGATATATTCAGCTTTAGCTGATTTTAATAAAGCATCATATATGACTGTAACAACAATATTGTCTATTTTTCTGGGTATGATTTTCAAAACATAAGAGCTTTATTAAGATAATATTTCCAAATTTTTATAATGAACTCTGGGCAATAATTTAAATATGGTTAAATATACCCTATTTAAGTAGGCAACTTTAGTAACAGTATACTCATATATATGACTCCTACAGTTAAGAGAGACATCACACCCAGGTTTCTCAGTCACCTTCCTCCTAGCCCCTGGCAACCAGTGATCTGCTTTTTGTAACTAGGTTAGACTTCTGTTTTGTTTTGTTTTGTTTTAATATCATTGCACATAAATGGAGATACACAAGATGTCTTCTTCCTTGTCATCTTTTTCATTCAGCATGATTTTGAGATGTGTCCATATTTCAGTAACACCTTAATTTTTAAGTCATATTTGATTGTATGCATATACTACAGTTTGTTTATCCTTTCTCTTTCCAGTTTTTGATTGTTATGAACATAGCTGCAGTAAACTTCTTGTGGATTTTAATATAAGCGTGTTTTTATTTCTCTTGAGTAAATACTTAGGAGTAAAATTTCTGAGTTTGTAGTGTTAGTATATGTCATGTTAGACTTTCCTGAAGTGCTTTATTCCATTTTACATTTCTCTCACCAGTGTGGAAGACTTATAGTTATTTCACATTTTTTTCAATACTTGATATTACTTTTTAATATAGCCTTTTTAATGTGCATAGTGGCATTTCCAAGTGGTTTTCATTTGCATTTCTCTTATTAAATAATGATGTTATGCATCTTTCACTTATTGGCCATTTGTATATCTTATTTTGTGAGCATATGTTTAAATTGTTTGCCTGCTTCTAGGTCTGTCTGATTTTTTAGTTTTAAGGTTTTTTAATTGAGTATTTCCCCCCAGCTTGTACCTTTCCCCCCCCCACACCCCAATTTGTGGCTTTTTAGAATTTTTCATTTTGATAAAGTCTAAACTTATCAGTTTTAATCTTTTCTAAGAAATCTTTACAGACCCAATGGTATGAAAGATTTTCCCCCTTGATTTCTAAACACTTTAGCTCGATGTTTAGGTATATGATCTATTTGGAATACATTTTTGTATACAGTGTGTGTTAAGGGTCAAAGTTTACATATTACTCCATTTGAACATTTAATTTTTTTAGCACCATTTTTTGAAAAGACTATCTTTTCTCCATTGAATTACTTAGTACCCATTAAAATATCCACTGATTGGCTGTTATTCTGTATGTTGGTAAATTGAACACCAATAAAAATTAATTTATTAAAATAAAACAAAAACAAAAAATAGAAGAAAATATATGGAGAAATACAACAACAACAACAACAAAAATAAAATATCCACTGATTATTTGTATTTGTTTATGGGGGGTGGTTTCTGCCTATGGACCCTTTATTCTGTCTTACCTGTTTATCTTCTCTATATTGTCTGTATTCCTATATTTTTGTTTATAAGTCTTTAAATGAAATTGTAAGTCTTAAATGAAATTATAAGTCTTTAAATGAAATTCTCCAACTTTGTTCTCTTGGTTAGAATTGTTTTGACTCTTCCAAGTCTTTTGCATTTCTACATACATTTTATTTATTTTTATTTTTATTTTTATTTTTTTTTATTTACTTATGATAGTCACAGAGAGAGAGAGAGAGAGAGAGAGAGAGAGAGAGAGAGAGAGGCAGAGACACAGGCAGAGGGAGAAGCAGGCTCCATGCACCGGGAGCCCGACGTGGGATTCGATCCCGGGTCTCCAGGATCGCGCCCCGGGCCAAAGACAGGCGCCAAACCGCTGTGCCACCCAGGGATCCCTCTACATACATTTTAGAATGAACTTATCATTTCCTTAAAAAAAAAAAGCTGCCTTAATATTGCTTTAGGATTTTATTGATTCTGTTTGGGGAAAGTTGACATCTTAATAATACTGACTTTTCTGATCCATGAATATCCATCTCACCATTTAATTAGGTCTTTAATTTCTCTCGGCAGTGTTTTGTATTGCCTGAGTACAGATATTGTATGTGTTGATAGATTTATCCTTAAGTCTGTCTTGATTTGAATGCTATTATAAGTAATATTGTTTATATAATTTCACTTGCAGTTGTTTTTTGCAAGTAGCAAAATCTGTAGCAATACAGTTGATCCTTGTGTATTGACCTTGTTTCCTGTAACCTTGATAAAGAAACATCATTTTGGTAGCTTTTTTGATTCCATAAGGTTTTCTAATTGTATGTGATCATGTCCCCTGTACTTGCCTTTTTCTTTCCTATCTTTATGCTATTTACCTTTTTTTTTTCCCTTTACTGCATTCTCACTACAATGCTGAAGAGAACTGGTGACAAAAGACATCCTTGCCTTACTTTCAGTCTTGGTGGACAACTCTGAGTCATTCACCGTATGTTTCATGTCAGCTCTGGGTTTTTCAGGTCCAGAATGTTGTTCCCCATCTGAATTTGCTGGGAGTTTTCCCATGAAAAATGTTGATTTTTGTCCTTAGTTCTTTTAAGCATAAAATCTAATAATCATATGATTCCTTTTTAAATTTTCCTAATATGATTAATTATCTTTATATATTTTTAAATGTTTAAACAACCTTGTATTTCTGGAATAAAAATCTACTTGGTTGTGGTCCATCATTTATATATTGCTGAGTTTGATTTGCAGATACTGTGTTAAAGACAGTTGTGTCAATATTCCATAATGAATAGTGTCTGTATGGTATGTACCAATTGCCCCTCTTTCATTTATATTGATAATTTGCTTTCTTTTTTTTTCATCAGTTTAGAGGAAATTTATAGTTGTACTGATTACGTTCTTCAAAAGAAGGAGCTTTTGGTTTCATTGATTTTCTCTATTTGTCTTTTTTTCATTGATTTCTGTTCTCTACTATTTTTCTCTTCCCATTCATTATAGATTTAGTTCTTTTTTTAACTTACTAAATGAAAGGTGGATTTTCTTTCTTTTTTTTACCATTTTCATTTTAATTATAAGCTTTTAAAGTTCTGAGTTTCACTTTAGCATCTGAAATTTTGGAAAGCTATTTGTTCATTTCACTTAGTTCAAAATATTTTCTAATTTATTTTGAGGTTTCTCCACCCACCCCTGCCACGGGTATTTAGAAAAGCCTTGTGTGATTTCTAAATATTTGGGAGTTTTTCCAGGTTTTTTTTCTATTCGTTTCTAACTTGTTTATGTTCAGAGAATATAATCTTTATGCTTTTACTTAAGTTTTTCTTGGTGAATGTTCCATGTGAACGTGAAGATTATGTATTCTGCTGTTACTGGGTGAGATGTTATGTCAGTTGGTTGATAATGTTTTCCACATAGTATGTATGCTCATGCTGAATTTCCCTTTCAGTTCTGTCAATTCCTGAGAAAGGTATGTTATTTTTAGCTATAAATTATGACTTTGTGTTTTTCTGTTGTTGGTTTGTCATGTAACTTGAAGCTCTTATTTTTGGTACAGTTACATTAAGTTTGTATAACTTCTTTCTGTGAAATTTCCCTATTTATTCCTGGAAAAATTCCTTTTTGCTGAAATCTACTTTTTTGATATTAATATAACCACTTCAGCTTTTTATGATTAGTGTTTGCATAGTTTATCTAATTTCATCTTTCTTTAGTCTATATTTGTCTTTTTATTTAAAGTGAATTTTTTTTAATTTTTATTTATTTTATGATAGTCACACAGAGAGAGAGAGAGAGAAAGAGGCAGAGACATAGGCAGAGGGAGAAGCAGGCTCCATGCACTGGGAGCCCGACGTGGGATTCGATCCCGAGTCTCCAGGATCGCGCCCTGGGCCAAAGGCAGGCGCCAAACCGCTGCGCCACCCAGGGATCCCTAAAGTGAATTTTTTTATATGATAGATTTGACTCTTGTTTTCTCTTCCTGTCTGATAATCCCTGCCTTTCTTTTGAATGCTTTTATTTGGCATAAGTTCTTATTTGAACATCTACCATCTTGCTATGTTTC